AAAATAACAACTGGCATGCTTCACTCGCACCTCTCCGCCAAGTGTTAGCAGCTTAAAAGCGGTTTTCAAAGGCATTCTCGATTTTAAAACACAGCATGGTTGTTTTTAATCATTAGACTATTATGATGCAATTCGCCGTCTCAATTCTGTATTTCGTCACGACGTCACGACTCTAATCGCATTCGAGCCAATCCGCAGGAAAAGTCAACAGCGTTAGACGCGTGGAGGTGCGACGTCAAGGCCTAGTTCGTTAGTATTACAAGGCGAACGCGGAGCGTTACGAAAGCGCGACACCTTTACGATAGCACCGCGGCCCTTATCAGATTATTAGAGGCTTGTTTGCTGGTTGCGTTAATCTTCGCGGAAGAGGGCAGGCTCGCGCGGTCCGACGCCGAGAGCGCGGGGGCGAAGTCGAAGGAGTCGATGCTTCACACGCGATAACGCTCTCTCCTGCATTAACAGCGAGAAATAAATGTATATGCATGATTTACGCGAGTCGTGTGTAAAAGAGCGCGGGCGCGCGCGCTGATAAACCCCCCGGTTCGAACTCGAAGTCGTTCATCGAAAAAAAATGGGTCAACGACATCGGCGAATTACGCAACGCAAACGCGCGCGGTAACACGCGCCACACGTGCATTTACGCGACCCCGGCGACGGATGTGCGCGCGATGCGCGAGCGAGTGCTCATGACCGTGAATTAGACGAACGATCGGAATTAGAAGCGCCTTTGTATTCGATGCTTTGTATGCGTGTGTGTTTATTATTCGTGCGTATGGTATTATTCGCACGTCCCGAGTTCCGTCGCGCACGATGCGTTCCTCGAGTAATCTTCCACGGTACCAACGTCGTCGAAAATCAAATCGGCAAAGAAAATGAATAACTATCCAATAGTTACGTTTTACATTTTAGAAGACGATAATTTCGGTAGATAGCACCTTAAATGAGAAAAGAATGTTTCATTGTCATGTTTAATTGTTAATTGAATTCGGTCATAAGAAATCGCTGGTGTACCGAATTAGGATGCGTTCTCATCCGTTCTTTCCGGCAACGATTCCCACGAAAACGAGACCCCCGAAGTGAATTTTCGAGCAGAACAAAGATTGCGCGCAGTATCCAAAGCTTCGAATCGCGAGAGGAGATTTAACATTCACGGACAAAGAGGCGCGCGTCTATTTTCCGCGTCCCAGGGCCCTTCCTACGCACTCGGTGCGCGTATATGTCGTATGCCATCATTCAAACACACACACGTGCACACAACACGCGTATATTCGCCGATTTATCGCGGGGGCAACCTCGAGATTCACGGTCGCCTCTCCACGTGTCGTTTCTTACCCGCGATGCGTGTGTGGTGCGGCGGTTCTCCTCTCTCCCCCTCGCGGATCCCTCACGGTCCACCATATCTTTTTTTTCTCTCTCTTGGCACCGGCTTTTCGCCGTGCTGTGCACCGAACTTCGGGTATGTGCGAAGAAGGCGGCCTTGGTCCCACGCGGCCATTGGCCGGGCCTAGAGGAAGCCCGAACTATGATTGGCCTGTCAACTTTTCATACGGGCGCGAAGCTGAAACGAGCGGAGCCGAGCCGAGCCGAGCCGATACGATACGATACGGCAAATATACACATTCGCGCTCGCTAGCACACTCTGCATTGTCGACCTTGACGGGGCATTGACCGCCGTTCCCTTCCCTTGGCCACCTTCCTCCGTACTAGAGTATTTTGTCTCTGCTCTAATCAAATTCGGCGACCGCTCTTATCTACTCGCGCGAAACTTGGATACCGCGCGCGGTATCGGTACGTCGCGGGGCGACCAGCTTGTGTCTCGTAATTTTCCGAGTCGATTGCTTGATCGAAAAGACTCGTTAGCGCGCTAATATAGTCTTGAATTTTTTAAAAGATCAAAAAATCACGCCGAGAGGATCCTTACTTTATCCAATATTAAAGATCTCTCTCTTCCATATTAATATTATATTCATATTATATTTGTTATATCGAATTTATACCGAACTCAGATTTTGCTCCCTCCTATTAAGTATTAAATTCACTTTTCTGAAGTTGTCCTTTGATAAATATCGCGATAACTTTTTTTTTACTGGAGTATCGGTCGCTGACATCGCGACTGACATTGAGTTAAGCCCGTAATTGCCGCCTTCACCCGGCAGCGCGTATTACACGCATTCGGTCACGGTGCACGTACCACCAGGCTTGGAATTATTATTGCGTAGTAGGAGAACGATGACCGTCGTAAGAGGCTTCGTCGAAAACCCTAACTCCCAAAGAGCTCTACCGGCTGGCCTTGGAACATGAATAGATTGCCCGCGAAGAGTGCATTGCACTGTTGCGTAACTATACGCGCGTTTTATTTGCAAGTTTCGTGACGGTAGTCACGCCGCCGGCAAATCCCGTCTTTCGTTACTAAACCCTCACGTAATCCCGTCGAAATGACAATATTTGCAACGCGTCTTTCAGCTAACGTAACGCAAGCGGCATAGAAATAATGCGGATGATGTGACGTTAGGACAGTGGTGAATCTAGACAACGCACTTAAGTGCGAATAAATTTAACAATTACGCAATTTCCATTGTCGCTTCGGAAAAATATCTCGCGTATTGCATAAGGTGAAATATTTTAAATGGCAACTTATTTTTTCCGCACGCTGTTGCGTCGAGTTCGCTATCGCTTATCCGCGTAATCTTCGCTATATGACGGCGTCGCGGTTCGCGCCCCAAATATAGTCCCTAACTATGGACAATATCTAAATAGATACGCGGCGGGGCCGCGCCGAGAAGTGCTCGTGCGTTATCTCTACTCGCTCATTCAGTAATAGGCCCGTACTCTCGCTCGCTCGACGAGTCGATGACGGCGTCGCGGCGTGTCATAAACACGTCCTCGACGGCTCTCCGTGCGCGCGCACGCGCGCGCGTTACGCAACGCGGTCCCGCCGAAATTCTTTGCGACATATCGTATTTTCTGCATGCGGCCCGATAACGGGAACAACAACGCATGTGCGTGAGAATCGTCTCGCTGCGCGGCGCGGCGCGTTACAGAATTTATTAATACAGTCCCGCGCCTATATACGCTGATGAACTCTGCATACTTCATTATTTCCACAAGTGTGCCGGCGAACTGCGCTGCCGTCCCGCAGCTCCGAACGCAATTCGTAGAACTGTACATCTACCTTCGCGTTACGAACGCGCCTGCCGACAAATTTCTTGCGAAAAATAAATTCACCTTAGCCCGGCAAAGTAGAAGAATCTCTTCGTGCTCGATTTTCTTGTTCCCATTGCATTGACGCGATACGTAGTAAATACCGTATCTGTATGTCCGGATTCCGCTTACGAATACCAAAATAAGCGACGAAGGATGGTCGCAAAACGCCCACACTCCACTCGGCTGTTAGCCTTTGCATGGCGCATAATGAGCTGAATATTTGACCCGAAACACTTGTTACACGTCTATCTTATATTGGGCAAGTTATAAGTAGGAATTAATTTATGATATAACGATTAAAATAACTTGTTAGTGCTCAGGGAACTGTTCACGATCGGAATTCAATATCGAAGATATACTCGACATTCGTTAAGTAAAGAGACGCTGTCATTATTATACGAGACAAAGTTCACGATGCAATATATTTCGACCGAACACCGTGAGCTATCACAGAGCCATTGAGTTCTCTCTCTCTCTCTCTCTCTCTCTCTCTCTCTCTCTCTCTTCTCTCTCTCTCTCTCTCTCTCTCTTTCTCTCTCTCCTTCGGATACGCAGTAAATCCAATATTCGTCGGATAAGAGGTTTGAAATTGGGCGCAACGGGGAGTACACGGAAATATGATCCCCGCGCTGAGAGGAAGCTCAAAGAGTTGGATACACTTTGTGTATCGGGAGGCTACTCGGAAAGACAGGTGCTTTGAGCCACCTGGTTGTGCCCTCGTCACCTTCCTCCTTTCTCCTCTCGCACTTGATTTCCTTATTCGGAGGGCATTGCCGATGAGGCATCTTCCCACATCCGTCTAAACGCACGAAGCTCTTTCACGAAACGTCCGTTCTGATTCGCACGGAACTCCATCACAAAATAATGAGGCGTGGAAAGAAACAGCACGCGATGCGAATAATTACAGATAACGAAAATACCATATATATTCTCGTATGCAGCTAATTTTTGTTAAAATTATATCAGTTTCAAAGGATTTAAATAAATTATATAACGATGTATCTTATAGATCAAGCTTCTTTTTTTGTGAACATGATAGCAAATCCGCGAGGGTTTCTTTCAAAAAAATTTTCGGGATGTTTTATAGCTACATCGCGGCGTCCTTCGACGGTCGGTTACCGTCACGGTTTCTTTTTTCTTGTTACGCGCAACCGTTGCTAGATACGTCGCTTAACGTGCAGCGGTCGCCCGTGTCGTATTACACGCCCGCGCGCTGGCGAACGCGCATTATACTCGCGCGCGTGAATTACGAATTACGGAAGATCGTGTCCGAAGATGACCCACATACGCAGCGGGCTGCGAGAAAGGGCATCGACGTCAGGCGCGCTAGCCTCGGTTTCCTTTATGCCGCCGTAGAGAGGGAAATGGTGGGCCGGTTGAAAAAAAAAGGGTTCCGTCGGTCACCGGCTTCCTTTGCACGCTGAAATTCCCGCGCTCGTCCGCCGCGCACGATGGTGCCCGTTTACATTGTGAGCCGTGAGAAAGAAAAGGCCTCTTATATGCGTGCACCAAAAATTTTTGGTGGTGCGCTTAATTTCGTGACGCCCGTTCGAAATTATAGTCGTGATGATTCACGCGATTAAGGAATAGAAGCGCGCGGCAATTATTCGAGCGATTTTTTTCCGCGGTATACTTTTAATTCGCTCAGTTATACAAAAATGGACAAGCGATGATCTTTTGTTGTTTTTCACCGAACGTTTTGCTTTGACAATAGTATGTTTCTGCCAGCAGTACGTATCTGTACTTTCTTACTATCGCTCATATTTTGAAGACGATGCATCCTATTTGTGTTTCAGGAGTTACGTTCAAGGCGCACAGGTTAATTCTCGCAGCATGCAGCAAGCACTTTCAGGAGATCTTCGAAGGAATGCCGCCTTCTCCCGCGGGACTGATCGTTATTCTCGACGGGACGAGTGCCCACAATATGGCGTCCCTCCTCGAATTCATGTACCGTGGAGAGGTACATGTGTCCCAGGAATCCCTCAGCTCCTTCCTCAAGGCAGCTGAATGCCTTCAAGTATGTGCCTGTCTCTTTTTCCGTAAATAATGACCCTAAATAATGTTCCCCGAATAATTGTACACGTGGCGTGGCGCCCGACACGGCTCTGTAACGTGCCTGGGCTAAAGTTTCGATGTGTCATTTATGTCGTGAAAGCTCGAGAGGAATCACATCATTTGTCAAGCTCTCCTCGAAAATGCGTCGTCGCATTGAACTCCCATTGAAGTTTGCATCGCGTGCTTTAATTCCGTATTTTCAAGTGTTTACTGCAAAAATACGCGATTTTACTTGATTTATATATACAGAGTTAGCAGAAGTACCGTTGATATCAGTAATGCGGAATATATTTATTAACATTAATCCATGACACTTATGCGAATTTGTTAAATCCGATAAATATTTTCATAATGCTTTTAAATGCTTTTATTTTAGCACTCTTATAATAGTTTTGCATTCTCATACACAATTTCCCATTATTCTCTCTTCCTACATTTATTTTCCTAAAATATGTTCATTTTCAATCATAACTCTCTTCGCGTAAATCCAGGTTAAGGGTCTGTCGATTATCGAGCACGAAAAATTGGCGGTGGCGCAGAGGCACGCCGCGGAGAGCAGCAACGCCTCCGCGGACGCAGAGAGCACCGGCGGTGGCGGAGGTAGCGGAGGCGGCGGAGGCGGCGGTAGCGGTAGCATCGGGGGTAGCATCGGCAGCGGTAGCGTCGGTGGTACCATCGGCAACGGGGGCGGCAGCGGTGGCGGCATCGGTGACATGAGTGACATAAGTGAGGCGGGCGAGCCCACCGTCAAGAACATCACGAAGAGGACCCCAACGTCGCCCGCTGCGGAGTACACCGTGCCCAACTTGTACCCGACCTCTCAATATTGCGAGAGCCCGCCGAAGAGGCTGATGAGGTAAGGACCTTTCGTCGAGGCGCAAAGTACATTTACGGAAAGTGTGGCGGCCACGTGTGCGGCCTTCCTACGTTCTAATGGCGATGACGTATGTGACAATTCGCGAACGGCAGAGCGATAAACTTATTATTCGCCGATGAGGAATAACGTTCGTTTTGACAAAGCGACTTTTTTTTACGATTTCTTTCGTATTTTCAACTTTAGTTTCGGAATCGGAATACTTCATTTTTGACCGAATTAGCCTTTCGCCGAATCATTATTATGTTGCGCGAGTCAAGGGCATGTCCAAAGGGCTTTATCATATGAAGAATATCTTGGACATTTTTTCGTTCGTTCCACATCGCGCTACGTCGATTTCCGAGATTCAATTTGCTCCGTGCTTCTTCCTTAACGTATTACGTTGTACCTGTTACCAAATATTCACTCGCGTAAGATTTTGTGAGCTGCAACCGCGTATTTTTAGATCGCCGAGCGACGTCGATACACTGGGAAGAGCGAGCGTGTTGCGCGACGGCACTGCCTTTCGGCCGGCGTCCGCCCCGCATCCACTGCTGGAGAACCACTTCTATCAATCGTTCACCCATCCCTCGGAACCTCATTCGCATTCCCACACCGCGCCACACACGCCCACGGAACTGGAACAGCAGCTGGAACGAGCGCGGTCCGAGGAGCGCAACAACTGTGATCTCAAGGAGAGCGTTGCCGAAGGTGAGATAGACCTACCTCGACGAAATCGATAAAAAAAAAAAAAATCGATCGAGAGGACCCCGCCAACCCGGTCGCGCAGATACAGATCTCGGTCTCGTGTTCGCAGATCTTCGAATAAAACAGGAGCCAGTGGAGCTGACCGATCGGGAGAGGGCGGAGAAGTTGGCGGAGAGACTGTCGAGGCGGGATGACGAGGTTTATCCCGGACGGGGGTTTGACGCGGGCTCGTACAGACCGAACTCGGACCATCTGTCGCACAAGGCGCAGCTGGGTCCGACGATGGTGCCGATGCCGGCGGTCCATCCGCCGACTCCCGATCAGAGCCCTGCCGCGCCTACGCTCGCTATGTGGAACACGAAGATCAACAAGGCCAGCACTGTCTCTACTGTCGACGGCAGTGAGTACCATCCATTATTTTTGCGTCACGAGACATCGCGCTGTTATCTTAAACGCGCGACTGAACGCGATTGAGACTCCAAATAATTCGGCGGAGTCTCTCCGACTCGGGCTGACGCGTAGCGTGTATGAAGTGAGATTTTTACGCGGTTTTTGGCCTCGTGCAAAAAGAAAAAATATTTGATTCAACTCGCACGATAGTTCTAACGGGTCATTCCGCGAAGTGTCGACTCGGCGCTGTTGACGAGCCAACAACATTAGACCGTGAGATCTTCGCGGGTAACAGATAACGACGCAGCTAAGTCTATTGACACGTGAAATCAAGGATGATGTAGCAAGTGAACGGGCACGAGCCGCGTAAAACCTTGCAAGTTTATTGAACCTTGCGTGCGCGCGCGCGTTCATACACTATATGTGTAATCTGATTTATCGCCAAAATATACAGCGTAAATGCGAACGATAAATTTCCTTGCACGCGCTACGATCGTTTTGGAAAATTTCACGACCTAAAAAACATGCGTGATATTTGGCCGGTGATTTAATTGGGCCTTTAATATTATTATATTGCCCAAGTCATCGGACAGTGAAGCGCTCTCACAAATCCGATAGACTAGCTTTATGTGGTCCAATACGCTGCGCGGGTAAGAAGGCCTTCTGGCTCCGGAGTTACAAAATGCACGGGCGTTGCATCATCGGCTGCACGTGGGGCCTGACCGCGGATGTTGCAACTGCCGCGTTCCTCTCTCATCCTTGTACCATTCTCCCTACCGCTTCTCTCCGAGTCATCTCACGACGACAGATAAAACGGTGCATCGTAAAAACAAGCTCGCTCTTGCGCCGTCCGATGCCCTCCGAACCAGCTCACGTTCCCCCTTATTCTTCGAATTATCTAACGGATTTAAAACGAATTTAAATCTTTCTGCGCATTCAATTTCTTGACTTTCAAAGGGAAGGAAAATCGATTCCAGTGTGATCAAAGAATTTATAGTCGAGAGGTAATGCGACGGTTTTCGGGACGGTTTTCGTGTAGATCTTTTTTTGTCCACGTGTACGTCAGTCTCCGCTTCGGCGACGCTCTAACGTGCAGAAAGAGAGAGCGACGACGACGCCGTACGTGCGATGTACGTTGGATTTACCGGGTCCTCATCCCCCCCCCCCGCTCCCCCGTCCGTGCCCCTGGACGGGGTGATGCCTTACGACTTGCCTTCACGGTGTGAACAAAGTGTACAAAGAGGATGCAGGCGACGGTGCAGCCACTGGGAACATCTTTTGCTCCGGCGAGCAAATCACCGAGCGTGACGCTACGACGACGCCACGTGAAACGGGCGCGACCGACGCCGGTCCACCAACACACCGATGCGATTCGACGTCGTTGGCGTCGCGGCGCCCGTGTGCCACCCGCGGATGACACCCCGACCATTTTTAATCGCCCGCTCGCTCGCCCGCCGCAAAGAAATTAACGAAGCGTCAACTAATGCAACGGTTATTGACATTAGGCCCGCAGAGGAGAAAGGGCAAAGAAACGAGGGAAGGAGGGACGGGGGAGAGCGATCCGTGTATGTTAAACGTGCTCAAGGAAGAGTGAAAGAAGTTCGCTGACGGGCGGAGGAGCCATTTATTAATGTACCAAAGTTCCGTGCGGTCGTCTCGAAAGCCTTCCTTTTGCACTTTTCAGCTACGTTATTCGAGAGATTTTCAAAGATTTCAAAGGCTCGTGGAACGTGTCGAAAAAAAAAAAATGAAAATCAGATTATTATCGTTGCGTCATGAATGCGACGTTGAGATGAGATAACATTGAAACAAAAGGTTTTCGTAATGCCGCTCTTAAATTATTCAAAGACCGTGCGAAGGCACAGAGATGCAGAGACGTTAATCTCTGAAAAGGTATATTATAAAAAAAAAAGTAGGGACACTGAGGACACTCTATTTCGCTAATGTAGATGACGGTGACCGTGGCCAGAGCTCTTTGACGTCTCTGTGTGCGGAGGAATGCGACGAGAAGAACCGTAGCCGCGCGGTGAGAAAAATCGGGACCATCGCATTGTTGAGTTATTCTATCGGGAGTACAGTTATGCTCACCGAAAGTCTGCCGTTAAAGCGTTACTTTTTGTTAGATCCTGTACGAGGAGTTGTTAAAAACTAACGTGCCGCTCCGCCTAATTCCGATCATCGCCTAGGCGGTGAAATTTATGCGACATCGCGGTGCTATTGCGCAAGTTATTTGGCGAGGAAAAAAACCGATCCGTGAGGTGCCTCGCGTGTCCATAAGATTTGAATTTTATGGAATCTGCAACTCTCTCAAGCGGTCCCCGAATTAGAATCATTTTTTATTATTCTCTGCCCGCGAAATAACGTCTTCTTCTATACGAACTGACTACCCGTCAGCGAACTTCTTTCACTCTTCCTTGAGCACGTTTAACATGCACGGATCGCTCTCCCCCGTTCCTCCTTCCCTCGTTTCTTTACTGTAGTTAGACATGTCCGTATTAGACATGTACAAATTAATCGACGTAAAAAAAAGCGAGAATAAAAACCGATGAAATTATCTTTCGAAATACTACTTTGTTATTTGAAGAAAGTACAAAGAGGCTATTCTATATTCCTTTTGTAGGTCGTGTCGTTTTTTATCTTGCCGCTGATTGCATTCGTTGCCGAAAACGATACGGTGTATATCGGTAAATGAAAGTTAGGTCAGCACCGAAATGAGACCACAGGGAAAGACTTTTAAAGCCTCCTACGATCGTACGACTGTATATTTTATTTTTCTTTTACGTTACCGTTTTCTAACACAGTGTACTTTCTCTTGAATTCCAAATTGCTACTTCTCTCTCTTTCTCTCTCTCCCTCTTGACTTTCTATTAGGAGCACAAGCTTTATGAAACGACCGATCGATATTGCTCAATATTACATGACATGTTTTATATTTAGAAGAAAAAGATTGGTCTGTGAGTCATTTTTATATTTAAAAGAAATTTCTAAATTTACTATGATTGTGCCGTAAGAGTCACTAATCAAAAAAGTCATGTTTATTCGATACGAAAGACATGCACGTCGTGACAGGCATGATGGCATGACGCGCGTTCGATAAAATGTCTCGCTCGGAAAACAAAACATTCATTATCATTTCATTCTCCAGTCGTCGATCGTTCTGCAACGCTTGTGCAGCGACGGCGACGTTGTAGCGTCACTTATTTATGCTTGTACGATCGTAAACTTGTTATTTATACAATTATGGTACACCAATTATAGCGAGAGCTCGGCGATCGCTCGCGAGCGATAAAAAAAAGTCGGGGAATAAGTTGGGCGACATATGAAATGACGCGGAAAGTGAAAGTGCTCTCTTGGGGGAGGGACGAGGGAAGGCTAACGTGTCTCTTTCGCTCAGTCCGCTTCTGTCGAAGCGGAGAACGCTCGATGTTGCTTAATCTGCTCTCTCTCGCTACCTCGTGCCCTTCGCAACGGAGACGACAACACGCGAGAGAAAACTTGCTCGTCCCTCGCTCGTCTAATTCGCCCCGCTGAATTATGAATGAAGGCTTCGTGCGAGGGAGGAAGGGAGGATAGGGGTAGTGCAGTTGCATCGGACACGTGCGGGTTCACACATAGGTGCATGCCGTCCCCGGCTGGCCGGGCCCTCGCGTCTTCCCTCGGCCGATTATTTCTCCTTTTGCTCCCTCCCTGTCTAGTCTTTCCTTTTTTTTCCAACTCTCCTTACAGGAGGCCCTCGCAACCCTTCTGCAATTTTGCGCGCGTGCCTCGTAAAAGTTTCAGCCAAACGTGCGACGAAACTTTGGCGAGAAAGCTCGTGTGCAGTACACAAGCGGCGGACTTGCTTAAACATTAATTCGTCATTTCCGAGTATTAATTCCACGTGCGCCTTCGCGGCGACGTGCCTGCGACGATGTTTGGCTGGATGACGGCCTCGCATTGCCGCGGAAAGCACGAAGGGTTGCCTGACGGAGGCAAATATTGTCAACGATCGCGAGGAGATGCGGAGATTATAGAAATCATTATCGCCAATATAGCTGTAGAAATATTCTTACGTTTTTTTTTATCTTCACGGGAAGCTGTTTATTTGACTCTATAGAAATCAAATATCATAAAATTCTGATATATTTTTTACCAAACCGCGAGACTATAATACTTATAAATATAAATATTTTTCTGATATTTAATTATTTTTTTGCAAAATTCCAAAGATATATATAAACATTTTGTATTTAAATTTGATCGCCAGTATTCGATGGTACAAGCACTATTCGATCTTTAGATTTATCGTATTATATAGTTACATTGAATAATTTTTCGGCGCTCTTCTCGTTTCGCATGCACGCGAGTTGCCATTACATGCCATTTAAAAAAGAGGCCGCTCATTCGGCTGGCAGGTTCTTAGAAGCGATTAGACGTAATTCAGCCTCGCCGCAGCATTCTACTGTCGCCGGTCACGAGACCTTCCATCGCCGAAAATCGTTGTTGCACAAGAGGAATGTGAGACCTTCGGCCGTTGCGTTGCGGCAATGCGTCGAAAAAATCGTGCAACCGCACCAGCTTTCCTTCCTACGCAGCTACGCCGATTAAAACGCCGGTTCGGTTACGTCAGGACCTTGGAGTAGTGTAAAATTAAATGCATGTCCTATTTTTATGCCCGCAACTCGCAGCCACGGATTAGTCAACTCGGGTGTATCAGTGAATATATTATTCATGAACCGCAGCGTTATCATTGACGGTGAACAATTCTAATTCTGATTTGCTCACTCTTTGTCTCAAATATATTTTTTATTTTTTTTTTTACTCGCGGTGCAAACTGCGAGATCGTGCCGATCAACCGGGCCCTTTGTGCACGACGATAAAAGTATCTATTTTCGAGACGTGAGAAAATAGCGGGTTCCCTCCGAAGACGAGGCAGCAGATCCCTCTCGTGAGTTATGGGTTTAGGCTGTTTGGACGTTCCCGAGAGAGGATGCGAAAGGCTGGCTGTGCTATGTGTGTCATGGCCAGGCG